ACAAAACTCTGGCTACTATACAAAGGATAGTTCTCAAACTGATCCTAACATTAAATTCAACTTCAAAAAAAAGTTTGACGAGAAAGTTCTCGCTTGGATTGCAATCAGTCGTTTCGGTCATTCATCGCCTTATTTTGCTGTAAAAAACTGTGCACTGGATGCAAAAACTTATTCTAAAGAATGTATTACAAAAAGACTTCATCCATTTATAAATTCCAAGCATCAAAACATGAAAATTTTATTTTGGCCTGACGGAGCGAGATGTCATTATGCAAAATACACATTAGAAACTTACAACATTTTAGGTATTAACTTTGTCGACAACCCCCCAAATGTACCGCAGTTAATAAATTAATAAAAAATTTGTATTGAGAGAACTCGTATTTATTGATGTTCATATATTAAACTATTCCAACTCTCATACAAAATGTTATCAATTATATATAATATATACATGTATATATATATATATATATATATATATATATATATATATATATATATATATATATATATATATATATATATATATATATATATATATATATATATATATATAACGTCTGTTCACAAAAAATCCGAACTGATTTCAAATGTACACAAATTGTTCTAAATTTCGAATTTTCGATTCAAAATTTTTAAATTTAATCGGTCAACAACAACAGTTTCATTTTGTGGCAAAATTGAGTTTCAAATAAACATGGAGCATTTAAAAGAGAACAATGTTAGAAATGTAATTGGAAATTTTTATAAACAAAACATAAACAGTGGAAAGAAATTTACAGTGGATCATTTTAAGAAAATGGGAATCGCTAAATCTACAATTTATGACATAATTGAAAGGTCTGAAAATAATTTACCAATGAAAATAAAAATCGGTTGCGGCAGAAAACCTTTTAAAATCACACCAGAAAAGATAGAGTCCATGATTGCAAGAGCAGAAGAGAGAATCAGGATTTCACAAAGAAAATTGGAACTAAAATATAAGATAAGCGTTTCATATGTAAATAGATTATTAAGTATGCATGAACTGAAGTATACTAAAAGAAAAAATGCACCAAAAACAACAGAAAAGCAAGAAATTAAACAAAAGAAAAACTCATTAAAACTTTCAAAAACTTTTTTCAAGCCATCAAATGAGTTTGAAATCATCATGGACAATGAATCTTATTTCTGTGTAAATGGTGCAAATTGTTCACAAAACTCTGGCTACTATACAAAGGATAGTTCTCAAACTGATCCTAACATTAAATTCAACTTCAAAAAAAAGTTTGACGAGAAAGTTCTCGCTTGGATTGCAATCAGTCGTTTCGGTCATTCATCGCCTTATTTTGCTGTAAAAAACTGTGCACTGGATGCAAAAACTTATTCTAAAGAATGTATTACAAAAAGACTTCATCCATTTATAAATTCCAAGCATCAAAACATGAAAATTTTATTTTGGCCTGACGGAGCGAGATGTCATTATGCAAAATACACATTAGAAACTTACAACATTTTAGGTATTAACTTTGTCGACAACCCCCCAAATGTACCGCAGTTAAGGCCAATTGAAAATTTTTGGGCACATTTAAAAGCAAAAGTTTATGGAAATGGATTTACTGCGAAAAATCTTGACCACCTTAAGAATAGAATTTGATTAAAGTTAAAAGAGTGTGGCTAATGGGTTGGAGGCCCCCACCCAAAAAAAATCCCTGTTATTAGGGCCCTAATTTGTTAAAAAAAATTTATATTATGCATTATTAAAATAAAAAATAAAATAAAAGCTCCTCAAATTTCCAAGAGTTTATAAATTTTAAAATGAGCCCCTTAAACTTGTTGACTCTCAAATTGGGTTGTTTTGGGTAGTATAGCCACAGCTCTGTATACAGGCCTCGGCAGGAGTAGATGAGAGCATGATTGGTAAACCGACTGTCTAAAACAGATATGACGGGCTATGCAGGAGATAAGCATTTTTTGGTTGGGCTTTTCTGCTATTTAGATAAAAAATAGCTCACGGATAAAAAAAACTGATTACATTTTAGTTTTTTAAATTTATTTTAGATAAAAAATAGCTCACGGATAAAAAAAACTGATTACATTTTAGTTTTTTAAATTTAACACTATAAAGAATTTGAACCATATCATAAATACTCCAGAAAAACAATTGTCAGCAATTGTTGTTTTTCTGATATTTATTTATTTAAGCATCTTAACATTTTTTAAAAAAATTGTTAAAAAGATTATGTTTATTTATCGTCATTTAACAAAATATTGAAACATTTTTTACTAACTTGTGAAACATTTTTTCTAATTTATTAAGTTTCAAAACCACACTCAAATAGATTCAATCGAGAGAGCAAGTAATTAGAAAAGACTTTTGTAATAAAAACTTGAATGAATGAGTTTGATACATTTTAAATTGTTATTGTGTTACTTAATTCAAATTTAAACAAATAAATTTTTATTACTGTTAACTAAAAACAATTAAAATTTTAAATAATATTTTAACTTTGATTTAAATAAGCATATCTAATACTTTAACTTTGATTTAAAAAGGCAACTATAAAAATATTGAGTATTAAAATGTATATTATATTTTTAAAAAGTTTTTAATTAAAAATATATAATTTAAATAGATTTTTAAAAACTAATAAAACGTTTGAGTTTCTTTTTAAAAAGAGTAACAATGAATAAACATTTTTTGTTTTTTTTCATTCTTTATTTACATAATACCTAAACAATATTTTATTTTAAATGCACTTTTTTTACTATTTTAGATTATGTAAGTAAAGTATGACTCGACCTAAAAAGCATTAAATTTTGGTATTTTAAAAAAAAAAACTGAATTTTTGAACAAGTTTAATTTTGCCAGTTTAAACTGACTTACACAGGTATGGAGGCAGGTGAGGGTAATCAACCACCATTCCTGCAATTTTATTTATTTATTTTAGTTGAATTATTTGAATTTTCATGCTATATTTTCTATACAATTTTCTTCTATCTAAAGTTATTGTTGGCTTAGCATAGGAACAGTTGCAAATAGTCATTAAGACTAATCCAAAGTAGCGTCTGTGATTGACTAACATTTTTGCATACCAAAGTACTACTCAAGCGCTGAGTTGGCTGTGGCAGGATTTGAACTTGTATCATACAACAGTCTTAACTTTTTAACTTTTAACTTTTCGCTTGATGCTCTAACCAACTGAACCAGCCACAATTAAACTTCTTGAAACAATATTTAATTAAGACTTTTTCATTTTCTCAAATAAATTTGTGCTTTTTAGAAACTACCAAAAGTTTTTTACAACTTTTTACTTCTTTTGGTACAACTTTGTTAATTTAGTGTCTGCAGGTGTTTTTGAAATTTAATAAAAGGTGTTCGATCAAAAAGTGTCAACTTTTTGTTAACTGGAGTACATATTTGTGTCATCAATAAAACTTCAAAGGTAAGATGATCAGGAAGATCATTAAAATAGATGAAGAACATCACAGGACTAAGGATGGAACCTAGTGGTACCCCAGAAGTTACTGGAAATAAAGGAGAGAGCTGTCTATCAAGGAAAACTTTAATACTGCAGTTAAAATAGAACGATTCAGTAATTCAAAGAACTTTTCCAGATACATCATATAAAGAAAGCTTATAGAAAAAAATAACATGCCAGAATTTATCAAAAGGCTCTTATATGTGAAAAGAAAATAATTCTTGCCTAACTGCTATCATTTAATACATAATAGAACCTTTATGTTATAGCTGTCAAAAAAGTCAGCAGTAGAACAAGCACATCAAAATCTTGATAATGAGTAAGTTGCAAACCAAGATTTCAAAGATTCAAAGATCTTACTATTAATAGTAAAAATATTGCAGAATAAAAAGATTGCAGAATAAAAAGGTCATAACAACTTTTTAAAAATTGGAATCACATATGCCATTTTATTTTTTTTCAACATCTTTACTTCACATTTTTTTTTTTTTTAAATGTATCCACAATCACAATATGCTATTTTCCAGCTGGCAGAAAAATAAAAAAAAAATGATGAATGAAATAATTGTGATTAGAAATAGGAGTTGCAAAAAAAAAAAAAAAAAAAAAAAAAAAAAGGAGAAAAAGAATAGAGACAATAGTAACCAGAGTAGTAAACCAGGGTTGGACGAGGCTTTACTTAAAATCGACAAGAAATAAAAGCTTCCATGCCTGAATCCAGGAGATTATGTAGGAAACCCATTATTCAGTGAAAAGGTAAAAAGACTATCACAAAAAAAGTCCAAGAACCATCACACAAAAAAAAAATTACTAAAGAAATCTTGTTTTTTTAAAAAAAACTGAAATTTCTTTCTTTTGAAATTATACTTAGTTGTTTTTTTTTTTTTTTTTTTTTTGAATGATTTATAAAAAAAAATTATATCTTTACATCTCTTATAAGTAAGATTCTGTACTCTTTAACTTTAAGAAATTTTTACTTTAAATCTTTTTATACATGTTTTTATAACTTCGTATGTTTCCATACCAAATAACTTCAAAACACTTCAGCAAAAAAAAAGTTGCTGTACTGTAAAACAAGTTGATTACTATATTACTAGGGATAATGGTTCAATATCACCTCCTTGTTGATACCTCTACTTTACAAAGTAAGCACTCTGCCACTCAACCTTTTTGATTTTTTTTAAACCTTTATTAATTCAAATTAGTTCTAAACTTTAAATTATCTTGATTATCATCTGATAAACCATAAAAGTATTATCATAAAAGATTATCATCTGATATCTGATCTTGATTGTCATAAAAAATCTTATGAAAATTTATAAATGCATAAATTAAAATTTCATAATGATTAATGTAATTAAAATTTAATATATAATATACATAAGATATAAAACAAAAAGATAAATCATAAAATAATGAAAAGAAAATATTTTGCGTTTAATATGATAATTGACCAAATATACAAGTTTTTTTAATTACTCTATCTTACATTTAGAAATAAAAAAAGTTTTTTATAATTACAAAGAAGTACCTTACCATAACAAGTATTGAACGTTTAAAACAGTCATTCACTTTTTCAGCAATCTTATACGCAATAAAATCAGGACTAAAAATAGACATTTTACAATCAGTTTTTCTGTCGCAAAATATAACTTTTCGGAAATATAAATTAAAATACTTGAACATTTTTTAAAAATAATTTTTACCTATACACAACTGTTGTGCATATGTAAAAATTTAAAAAATAAATAATAACTATAAAATATAAATATGTAAATTTTTTTTTTTTTTTTTTGTAATTCACCTCCCCAAGGTTGAGAAGGCCACTACAGATGAGGAGGCTACTTGTGGTTATAACCCTCTCTCAACTCTATAACTCTGAAACACGAACCTTGACGAACAAGCCGCTGCGCGGAGAAACAAGTTGATTTTAAAATACTATAAATTTAAAATACTATAAGCAGATAATGAAGAGTAAACTAACTTTATTGCTTTTCAATATATTTTTTAATAAATCATAGCAAATATTTTCAATTAAACCACTAAACATAATAGGGTTAAATAGGGTTCCCACAGTAAAATTAAATTAAAATTGACTTTCTGGAACTTCTCAGGACCATTTTCCTATTTTATCATGATATTTGGTTATAAAATTTAAATACAGCGCTCGAAATAACAACCGATCAACAATCAATGATCAGTTATTTTTAGGGAAATTTTGAAAAATTCAAAGGAAAATAACCTGTTTTTGTTAAAAAATTACATTTGATCGGCAAGCTTTGAAAAACTATTTTGAGCGCTGTAAATTATAATATTAATATTATAATAAGTATATTTTAGGATATTCCCTTCCCCCCCCCCCCCCATTCTCCCCCAAAAATATTTTTAAAATGAATTTTACATAAAAAATTTTCAGATAATACATTCCTTAAAATGCAGAAAATTTTTTCAATTAAAATAAAGCATTTGAAAAAGATTTCAAATAATAATTTCACTTGAAACTTTATACTAAAACTGATAAATATACATTGAAGCTTTTACCTTTCTACAAAACCAAATACAAAAAGCAAAGCATTGCGTATTTTTAAGCAAAAATATTGCTTAAAAATAAAACTTTAATGAATTTTATATTTAATTTTTTAAATACTAAAAATGCAACCTTTAACAATATGACAATAAAATAACATCAAATGATAATGTCTGATATAAAATATCATTAAAGGATTTAAAATACTGTCTAGTTCTTGTTTATTATTTTTTTATTCAAATCTAACTCATCGATTTCTTTCTGCTTTGTTTTACATAACTTTTTTGTTTATTTGACTAATAATTTTCCATTAATAGCTTATCAGATTTGTTAAATAAGAACTCAACTTGACTTTGATGAAGATGGAGTTTTGCTCTGACGGCTTTAAATCATCACGAACAATCTTTCGCTTTAATGCTACATTGTCATTTATTTTAATTTTTGCTTTTGTAAACCACCATATCAACTGCTTGCATTTCTAGCATAATGCTGAATCTCTCTGCTGATTTTTATGCTTTTTTTAATTACTCTTTTAATGTTTATTCACTTCCCTAAGGCCGAGAAGTTCAGTACAGTTGAGGAGGCGGCTATAATTGTGGTTACAACCCTCTATCAACTCTATAACTCTGAAACACAAACCATGACGAACAAGGCTGCTATGCGGAGAAACAAGTTGAGTGTGGTACTACCAGGGACGTGGTGGGGATCAAACTAGGAACTTAATGGTTATGAGGCAAGCGCTTTACCACTACCACATTCAGGAGTTTCTTTAGTAGACGAAAGGTGGTCTTCAATAATGCATAAGGCAAATAGTGGTTTCTTTTTCAAGTTTTCAACCAAAAGTTTCTTATTGATGATAAAACAACAATTGATCAATGACTATCCATGTTAGAGCATAAAGACTAACTTTAACACCTCTTCATAAGCCTTATTTTTTCCAATGAAGTCAGAAAAAAATCTTCAACTTAAAATAGTTTTTGATACTGTTCTTTTGCCAGTTTGGTGATTGCAATTATTTTCTTTGGTGATTGCAATTAATTATAACTAAATAATTGCAAATACTTTTTGCAAAAGAATAGAAAAACTTCCAATTCTCAAAAAGATCTGTCAATAAAACTGTTTAAAACTCCCCAGTTAACTCCCAAACTAAAAGTTTCATTTTTAAAGGTGACTAATCTGTAATTGGTAGAGGTAAATTTTGCACAGTTTTTAAGCTTCGATAAATATAGTGTGGAGGTCACATGTCTCTATATCCATAAAAAATTATTTCTTATGCATCCCTAAAATCAGATGCATGACAATGATAAAACTAGATAAAACTGTTTTTTTAATTTACTAGACACACCAAAAGTTAAAAAAGAAATCCTAACATTCTAATTTAATTCTGATGTAAGGTTTTCTTTTATTTAATTACATAATGAAAACTTCAAGAACCTCATCTTTAGTTCGATGCTCAGGACATTTGCATGCTTTCATTAAGAGGCTTTTGAGATGTGCTTTGAGACAACTGGTTGCAAAGTTGACTTTTTTCTAATTTTAATTTTAAAAATGGTTTTTCTACACAAGCAATGCTTTTTTCTACAAAAGCAATGTAAAAGTATTATTTTTCACAGTTATTAATAGTTTTAATTTCAACTTGCTATTGCTAAAAAAATTAATTGAACAAAGACAAGAGAAAGAAAAAAAACAAAACTGTAAGTTAAAAATTAAGAAAAATTAAGTACCTTTTCTAAATAACTTGTTTCACTATTAATTTTGACAACATACTGAAGCCTCCTGATTACAGATCAAATATATTAACTTTAAACTCCCTGAGAGATTAAATTTTTTATATTTTTTTCTTTAATTTAAAATTTTTGTAATTCAAATGTTCTTATTGAAAAGTCTTGAAAAAATTTTAGTGACAGTTTTTTTTTATAATTTTTAACTGATTTGTTCTTTAAGAACATATCAAGTACTATTCAGTGATCACAGTAGCTTAATCTACACACACACACACACACACACACACACACACACACACACACACCACACACACACACACACACACACACACACACACACACACACACACTTAGACCTAAGATAAATTAATGATTTTTTTGAATTTCTAGAGCAAAAATTCATTTGGGCTTTAAATTATACAAAAATCCTCAAAACCATTATCAAGTTAATAAATGTCGAAAATGCTGAATCAGCATAATTTCAACTAACAACACCTCATCAACCAATGCACATTTTTAACTAAAAATTTTTCAGTTAACATTTATTTAATATGACTTCAAATGATGTAAAAATAACAATTCTGAGACATATGGGTGACAAATTTTTTGTGTGGATGATTTCATATAGAACGACTTAAATGTTAAATTTAAATGTCAATTAATAAGTACCTTTTATCTTCAATATTTTCATTTGCTTGATAATAACCAACAATATTAATTTTTTGACGTTGACAATAAAAATCAATCTAAAAAATATGAAAACTAATTAAACTATGTACGTACTATGTTTATTCTATAAGTTTAATTGATTTGTTTCAGTTAAGCCAAAAAATTGTTATAAACATATTTAAAAATCATACTTGAGTCAAAGCTACTTCTAACATAGGCGCTAGACCTAAACATTGATGGAACAGAGGAATAGCGTCCAAAATCCGCATTTTTCCATTATCATTTGAATCACAGACTCCTAGGAGAACTCCATTTACAGCTTTATGTGGATACCTAGTAGCATGTAGAAGTATTTTTGAATAAGATCTTGGAGAAAAAGAAATGTCCATTTTAAAATGTTTTTACTATGAATTTAGCATTTAATATAAAAGAAAATGTGTTTGTTTTTAACCATTTTATTCTGGGTTAGCGTTCTTTTGAATGATTCAAAATAAGATTTTTAGTATTTAATAAAGCGCAGGCCTGAAAAGTTATTGTCAATATAAAAAATAGTATTAGAAGATAATGTCTTTCCAAGTCTGCGTTTTATTGAAAATATAAAATCTTACTTTGAATCATCCAAAAGAACGCTAAACATTATTCGGTGAATTATTTCTTATGAATTGTTTACCGTAAAATACAGTATCGTAGATTTGTATCATACTTATACCGTAGGTTAACAAATAGGTGTAGAAAACTTTTTATTATTTTATTATTATTTTATTTATTTATTTTTGTAAGCAACCATTTGAAATTCAAGATGATTTTCGACATATAAAATTATATATAAAAATTTTGAGAATATTAAATACAAATACATTTCATCATATATATATATTAGTTACGTAACTGGAGAACCTGAAGAAGAAAAAATTTTCTCATCAGTTACATTTGATAACAAAAAAGAGGATAAAAGTGTATTGCTAAAAATATCAAGTAAAGAATTTTGATTGACACTAAGTTTAATTATGTTCTTTTTGAATTTTTGAGCGGTATTGGCTTTTCTAAGTTTACCACTTAGGCTTGTAAAATTGTTAGGGTTGCAAATTTTCTGGAAATTTTTAACTCAAAAAAATTTTCCGGAAATTTTGGAAATTTTCAAATAAAGATAAGTTATTTTATAAATAATGAATAAACTTTATGTCTTAGTTAGGCAGTTATTATGGACAATTTTATGGTAAAATATTGTGAAGCAGATCATACAAATTTTAAAAAACTCCCTTTAAAAAACACTTTTTTTCATTATAACTTTAAGTAGCAACTATGATCATTTGTTTTCAAAATTTTCTGAAACTTTTTTATCCTGTTATTTGCTATGCATATTGATGTTTATTGCCGTATTTGTCAATATCTATTAAATTTACGAACAAATTACTGAAAACTGTAAAATTATATATAAAAAAATTTGATATAAATATTTGCAGTATTTTACAATTTTTTCTTGATTTAAAAACGTTATTGATTAATGAAAGGCAAAAGTAAGGGGATATTTTTGCTAAATTTGAACTATTTGAAAATAAAATTAGCAATAAAAATAAAAGAACTAATGATTTTCATGTCATAAGTCTACCGTTATGTTTAAATAAGTGCGTTTAAGCCATAGTGCAGCGGTTAGCGCGCTTGCCTCAGAAGCTAGAGATCCATTGTTCTACGCCACCTCTAGGCAGGTTTTACAACATCAGTAAGGAGTGGGTGTAAACTTCCTATCAAATGCGGTGTTCTGTGATAAGAATGAAAAAAAAAAAAGTCTCACTCGCCACACCTTTTCCCTTAAAATCGTCTTTGTATGCAATATGTACGCATAAAAAATGTTTGTTTCTTTAAACACTCTACAAAAATAATACACAAGTTTATTAATCTAAAAAAGACTTTATTCTTTTTATTTTTCATGAATATTTTAGATCGTAGTTAAGAGAAGTAAAAGCTAGAAATATGTTATATACAAGCTCAAAAGACAAGCTAACGCGGAAAACATCTACTTTTTATTATATTTTCTCTTTATCACCCAGTAGTAAATTACAGGTAAAATAATATTTAAATAGTCAAACAATAAATTAAAAATCAGCTAAAACAACACGGCTCTTGTAGTTGTTAGCAATAAATGCTTATAAACAGCTGGTTTGTTTTCCACATATTATTGGGACAGAGTTCTAAGAACATTCTCCTCCATCAAGATTTTAAACGCCTCTCTCTTTTCTTTCAAATTCCAAAACTGGAAAGTTTCTTTCAATATTAGCATAATATTAGTTTGTAGCTCTACGATGGGTTGCGTCAATTTAATTTTTTTGCCATTTACCATGCACTGTATGAAATTTAAACCAAGTGTGTTGCATGCATCAAATACTTCGTTTGTAAAGGATTTTTTATTCTGTGTTTTCTGTATTTGATTAACTATCAGTGAGTGACAAGTTTGATTTTTCAGCAGCCTGATAAAAAGATTAACTTTGTTCCTAAGGAGAATAGTTGAGATATCTTCTATTTTAAAAAAAGAATGAAGGTAATTTTTACTGCACTTCGAAATACAAAAAAATGATTTTAAGACTGCTCTTCCAACAGCGTCTATTTTGCTGAGAAAATTAGTATCATATTTACATAGTTCAAGACCGTATATAAGCTTCGGCACTGTTAATGTATTGTACAGATGAACATATCTTCATCATAATTGTTGATGGCTGGCAGTAACGAATCCCACTGTCGATTAGAGCTTTTGCAACTAATTGAAACTGAGTTATACGCTCATTTAAATTTTTCTTTCAGAGTGTTGCAATTTTATTTTTGCTGGTATCGTTATCCCATTGGAAACCCAGATGTTTTAATTTATTTTGAAGATATATAGAAACTCCATTAATTTTAACAACGTTGTTAGGAATATAACTTTTTCCAGAAATCAGAAATTCTGTTTTCTCAGTGTTTAGCTTGATAATGTTTGCTACTCCATATGTTTGAAATCTGTTGATCAGTTCCTGCAGACCAGAGATTGTGGGGCTTAGCAAAACTACATCATCTGCGTATGCAATTAAAATCAGTATAAATTCCATTTATTGTCGATCCTACTTTACATTCTGAGACAATTTCATTTAGGAAATTCTTTTGTTGTTTTACAAAAGTAATGTAAGTAAAAGTAACATGTAAAAGCTTGAGCGTTTTATTGTTTTTTAAAAAAATGCGTGATTCTTAAATTGAATATAAAAATTCGGGTAAAGATGTGCGTTTTTTGCTTGTGGGTCTCTATTATTTTATATTTTTTGTTGAAATATTTAAAGGATACATAAATACTAGGATGAGAAAAAAAATGGTTCCATAGGATTGGGCCAAGATATTGTTCAAAATATTTTTGAAAACCTTTTGAGTTTTTTAACTGATGTTGAAATATAAATTGTGTGACTTTGAATATGTTTATTTCATAAATATTAGGAGCATTCATGTCTTTTTAGAAAAGGTTTAGCATTTTTGTTAAGTGATTTTGAAAATAAATAATTTTTGCTGTTTTTTTTTTTTTTTTTTTTTTTTTTTTTACATTTATTTTGCTGTTTAACAAATATAATCAACACATATATATATACAAGAAAGAAAGAAATATGTCCGTATAACAAAGAAGACAGTAAAATCTTGTCAACAAGCACCGTTTTTGTATATACAGTATATAAAATAAACTATTCTTTTTTACAATGATCTTTATAAAATAAAGAGTTAAACAGACAGGGGCTCAAAGAAGATGAAGATGACAAAACGTCATCGCAATCTTTTCATAGAGCCCCCTATATACATTTTCATTAGGTTATGGATATTAAATTAAATTAAAAACCCTAATGGGCATAAAACTGTTGCGCTTATCAATAAAAACAAATAAATAAGATTATAAAGAAAATTACTTTGTAATCCTTTTAAGCACAAGTAATAATCAAATTTAAAAAATTTTTTTTTTTATCAGAAACTTAAATGAACTTAATGACTTTGCCATACATTTGGATCCTTTTTGATATCTATTCCATATATTTGGCCCCCGATATGCAATGCTATATTCAGTATATTTATTAAAGTTTTGAGGCAGTTTATATGTGTTACTTATATTTGCTCTTAGATAGTTGTTTTCATTTATGTTTATTTCAAACTTGTTAGTAAAGTTTGTAGGAGAGAGATTATTATTAAATTGATACATAAAAATTAAATGCTGATAGATATTTATTTCAAAAACATCCATCATTTTCATATCTTTCATTATAGATTTTGTATGCTCCCGCTTATTTTTAAAGTAAATGATTCTGCATGCGTGTTTTTGTAGACTATAGATTTTTTTAAGTTTTGATGGCTGAGTACTTGCCCATGATATGTTTGCATAGCTGATAAAGCAATGAATTAGTCCAAAGTAAATTAGTTTTAGACTTTGTTTATTGATATATGAGCGAACTCTATACATCATACCAATTATATTACTGATTTTAGATTGAATATATCTTATTTGAGGAAGCCAGGATAGCTTCTCATCAACAAGAACTCCTAAGAATCTAATGCTGGCTTGTTTTTTAATTAAATTATCATTTAGGATAAGGTCAGGCAACTTAAGAGGAAGGTTTTCTTCTTGCGTCTTTTTATGGAATAATATATATTTTGTTTTCCCTGAGTTAAGCGAGAGTTTGTTAGCTCTAAACCAATTATTTACTTTAATTAGTTCGATATTCATGTCTGCATATAGATTCTTGATATCACTGTTAGTAAGAAATAGACTTGTATCGTCAGCAAACATGACTGAATTTAGTTTTAAAGATGCATTGCAAAAATCATTTATATAAATTAGAAACAGAAGTGGACCAAGGATAGATCCTTGGGGAACTCCACATAAAACATTTAATACTCCAGATTGTATATTGCACACATATTGTTTTCTATTGGTAAGATAACTTTTAATCCAATTGTAAGTTTTATTAATTATACCATAGTATTTTAGTTTATCTAATAGGATGCAGCGGTCAACTGTATCAAAAGCTTTTGATAAGTCAACAAAAACTCCTTAAGTAAATTTGTTTTGATTAAAACCATCGGTTATTTGATTAACTAATTCAATAATTGCATGCTCTGTTGAACGGTTTTTTTGAAATTCAAACTGGTTTGGGTAAAATAATTTGTTTTTGTTAAAGTGATTACAGATTCTATTATAAATTACACGTTCGAAGAGTTTTGAAAAAACAGAAAGTATTGATATAGGTCTAAAGTTGGTTATGTCCGAATGTTCATTACATTTAAATATAGGGATTACTTTTGCTAATTTAAGTACATCAGGGAAAATCCCAGATGTTTTTGAGAGCTTTAGTATATGGATCAGAGGTCTACTTAAACTGGTTTTATTAAAGATAACTAAATCACTAGTTATTTCATCAAATCCAGGTGCTTTCTTTTTTTTTAAAGAGGAAAAAGCTTCTTCAAATTCTTTATATACAAATTTTTTATCGT